TCAGTCCTAGAGGAGATCAACCCTGACTGCTCTTTAGAAGGCCAGATGCTGAAGATGAAACTCAAAGACTTTGGCCACCTAATGAGAAGGAAGGACTCCCTGGAGAAGACCCTGATGCTGGGAACAATAGATGGCAAAAGGAGAAGGGGACGGCAGAGGATGAGGTGGCTGGATGGGGTCACTGGGGCAGAGGGTGTGGGGTTGGGTGGACTCCAGGTGATGGCAGAGGACAGGAAGGCCTGGAGGAATGTTGTCTATAGGGTCGTGATGGGTTGGACACAACTTCGCGACTAGCAACAACAAACCATACTTTTCTGGTCAGTGTGCGGACGAGCACGAGCAGCTTGATGGAAAAGCAGGAACCATCTGCCATATTGAGGAATGTCCTCCCTGTGAAGGCAAATGCTTACATGGATGGGTCAAGATCGTGCCTCCTGGTCTGACCCACATCCATGTGCCAGCCTTGCATCCCACTGTAGACACCTGCTCAGGGACACCAGTATGTGAGTAGCTGATGAAACGTGGGCCTCTTTTGCAGACAGTAGCATGTTGTGCGTGGATATTGTGGAAAGCTAGCAGGGGAGGCAACAGAGTGAGGCCAGAAGGTAGACCGTGTTTAATTTTGTATTGTACATGACAAAAAACATAACCGAAGTAGTTAAAGGAAGTAAAAAGATAAAGTGTACTAGAACATTATTACTATTTGGGATAAGGTTTAAAAAGATCCATCACATGAATTATGTATGAATTATTTATCACTCTTGTTTATATTTAACAGAATATATAATCATGGTTGAAAATAATGTGCATAAACAAAGGATACCCAAAAATACATATGAAGTTTATACTTAAGGCTAAAGTGCAAAAGTCAAAAGGTTCATTAAATTTTCTACCCACTATGTTATGGCTGGTGGTCATTTATACTTTCAGTGTGGTAATATCAGTCTTTTAGCTGTCAAAAGGATAAAGAAAATCCATTTATATTCACCTTGCATTAAATTCCAAGGGACAGGTAGGAACACAGATATCCTTAAATATTAAAGAAGTCTCCATCACAAGAGTTGTCTGAATTATTACCTCTGCCTAGAAAGAGGCTGCCATTAGACATTTCCAAAATGCATGAAGAGGGAAAGCATTAGGAGCATTAGACCTCCAATAATTGACTGATATAACTAAGCCTTTATCAAAGAGAAGTTGTTGTCTCCAGTATACTTGGAACATCAATTTTACTGAATTAATTATGGCCTAAGATCCAGGATCCCTTGTGGAATTAATAACAATGGAGCACTCCATTATTGGGCAAAAAGGGTTATCATCCACTTCATGATTCCATTCTTGTTTGAGACTGTGGTTGTTGTATTTATTCCCCAATAATGGATATTTATACACATGAATTGTAGGCTGATGTCAGTAGGTGGAAACCTGTTCTCCACTCCGTATTCTGAAACTATGTGAATGAGGCTAGTTTGTTCCTGAAATGAAGAGCTGTCCTTTGTGACATTTCCTAGAATATCCACCAATGACAGCCCATAGTTGAATGGAAATATCGGAATGAACAGGAAATTACTAAAGGGAACAATTTCTTTTTGCTTCTCAACTGATTTACCATTTCTTCACATATTCAGCACTCTTTTCAGGATGCTTAATATTTGGGAAGAAAAATTAGGGGAAGGTTATGCAGGAAGTTTTTCATTCTTGCTTAAAAACTTTAACCAAAAGTAAGCTTTGTTCCATCACATGGTAGCAGAGCCTTTCCCTCAGTGTGTATGCAAAGTTGTTGTTGTTGTTGGTCGCAAGGTCGTGCCCAACCCATCATGCCCCATGGACAACATTCCTCCAGGCCTTCCTGTCCTCCACCATCCCCTGGAGTCCACCTAAGCTCACACCAACTGCTCCAGTGACTCCATCTGGCCACCTCATCCTCTGCCGTCCCCTTCTTCTTTTGCCATCAATCGTTTCCAGCATCAGGGTCTTCTCCAGGGAGTCCTTCCTTCTCATTAGGTGGCCAAAGTATTTGAGTTTCTTCTTCAATATCTGGCCTTCCAAAGAGCAGTCAGGGTTGATTCTTTTAAGATTGACTGATTTGATCTCTTTGCAGTCCAAGGGATTCTCAGTAGTCTTTTTCAGCACCACAGTGCGGAGAGCCATGGTCAAATGCAGCTCCATGATGTACATACAGTTTCTAACTTGCATATGTCAGGAAATCTTAATTAGCAGGACCAGGAAAATGTATGTTCAGATTTGCTGGAGGATACTACACTCAGTCTCAGCAGTTTATTGGCAGAACACCCAGGGACCCCTCTCTGACAGAGAGAAACAACAGCATTATCAGGTAGCCAGTATTTGGAACTGGCAACAAGCTTCCAGAGCATATGCAGAGCTTTTATAAGTTGTGGGTCATGTACACAGTTTTTAGGGTGATGGTGAGGGATGAATGAATACAGAGGGCAATACAAGTACAAATAGAACAATGTAAGGCTAACATCAGAGAGGATGTTGCAAAGTTTACAGTGATATAGAGTGATTGAGTGACTAATAATAGTTGAGTGACATGAATCATAACAGGTCCCAGGAGCAGGTTTTAATATCCAGAGGAAGGTGATTGAATTAGCACAGAGAGAATCTATTCAGCACTGCTCCTTGCAGCCAGAGAGCTGGCGGGAAACTGTTTCACTTGTGGATGCACAGTAGCTGAGAAATGCATCAAGTTGTTTTAAATCGGAGACTCGAGGCACACGTGAGCATTCCTGAGCGGATTACATGGTCTCACCTATTGATTCTTTGTATTGTGTAGCCTCTGGAGCGTGCATGAGTTGCTCTGCAGGAGACTGCATGAATAATGGTGCCTTTCATTCCAAAAGGTCAAAATGTTTTACCTAAAGTCTAGCAAGTAAGAAGCTAAGACCTGCTCGAGAGCAGAAGGAAATGCCTCATTTAAGGGAACCCTTTGGACACTGGTTTGCTGTTCTGTGGGCCAGTTGCCTTAATTCAGTGCAACAACAGTGATCCAGCTTTTGTTATGTGTTTGTGAGGCTCCTCTCCTCTCCTCTCCTCTCCGCCATTAAACTTGTAAGGAACTGTTCTTAGAACATCTACTGACTTTCTGTTTTCCTCATATCTTCTTTAGGTTTCTGATAGTCTTGGGATGCTTGATTTTGGCTGTCCTGACAACGTTCAAGGAATATGAAACTGCTTCAGGAAATTGGTTACTGCTGTTGGTAAGTACAGAAGGACTTGGAGGGGGCTGAGGGATTGAGGAGGCTGATCAGCCCAGGTCCCTGAGCAGCTTCAACCCCCCTGGGTACTGAATACAAATTTTAAAGGGACCTTGTTCAGTTTTTCTGGACTGTGTGACTGATGGAGCCTTTGAGGGAGGGAGCCTTTGGAGAGCCACACTTGGAGGCTGAGCTTGTAGGAAGAGCTGGATTCTTGGGCTCGGAGGTGGTGCAGAGGTCCTTCCCAGAGTGTGATGTCTGGTGCCCAACAGGATCTTCAGGGAGATGCTGAGCCTCCAGGCCAAAGAATAACATCATACCAATGATGATTGTGATGATTCCCAGGTATGAGGGGTCTTCTCTGATGCAGCAAGCATGGGAGTAGTACTGCTGTTAGCAACTTGGGGTATGATGCTTGTAGATACATCTCCCAGGACTGCTGTTATTGATAATGGTGCCAATAATGAGAAATGGCAAGGGGGCTTTTGGTTTCTTTTTAGGGGACATCAAGAAATGGAGCATCTTGGCAGTGTGGCGTTCGGGGAATATGCTGCTTGGGGGCATGCCTTGTGTCGGCAGTGTTTAAACTTCAGTGAACTTTTATGCAGGTGCTTCTTGCCCTTGAAAGATGCTCCCAGGGATTTACACAGAATATCAAGTTAGCCCATGAAATAAAAAGTTAGAGAAGTTGGACCTCAGCCCACAATGCGTCTGTGTTCTGAAGAGGTGTGGGCAGGATGCGATGTGAAAGCATGAAGGGGTGTGTTGGAAGGGTGTCCTGATCCTTTCACGTATCCCTCCTTTTCAACTGCAACACCGCACTGCCTGCCCCGCCACAAGACTGTTTTACCCCCAGCAAGTATCTCAAATACCAAAGCAGTGGGACCCCTCTCTGAGCAGGACTGTATAGGATTGCACTGTTGCATTCTCCTCTTATTCAGTGCCACAGAAAAGCGTCTTCTGCACTGAGGCACCATCAGGATAGTGAAGGGTCTGGAAGAGGGTCCTCTGACCGTATAACCCATCCTACCAGCTAGTGGTTTAAAAAACAGACAGGCATGGGCCAATTCACAGGGAGATTCATGTTGCAAAGATGCTTCCTAAGGCAGTACAGGGCAAGGACAGTGTGGGGCAGCTTTGTTAGTCCAGGCAGTCCATCGTCCTCATCTGGATTTTCACCTGAAAGATTAAGGAAAAGTACGGAGGGCAAGGAAGCACAATTTGGGGCATATTGGTTAAGGCATCTGTCTAAGCTTCAGCCTAAGATTTCCTGGCTTTGTGAAGCCAATTTGAGATAGTCTTAAGACTTATTTCTGTGCATCTTTAGACCTGAAAAAATGGCCTACAAGACACTCCAGCAAGAAACAAGCCCTACATGTTACATAAAAAGTCATGGTGTTGTGAAGAAACAATTGAACAAGCTGCTGTTCATTGAATCATAGAACAGTAGAGTTGGAAGGGGATCAGGAAGGCCATTGGGTCCAGCCCCCTGCTGTTGCAGGACTCCAAGTTACACCATCCCACTCAGATGGATGTCCAGTTTCTTTTTGGATGTCTCCAGTGTGGGAGGGCCCACCACCTCTCCAGGCAGCTGGTTCCACTGCTGTATTGCTCTGGCAGTTATGAAACCATTCCATTCCTGATATCTAGTCTGAAGCTGGGTTGCCACAACTTGAGCTGTGTCTTACACTCTGGGATGGGTGAGAAGAGATATTGCCCTCCATCTTTTGCTGTTCCTTTTCATGGTTTCTAAAACCCAAACTCATCATTGTGAAATACCAAGACTGAGTTCAGCCAACATGATCGACAATGGTTAAAAACTATCTTGGCATTCTGTACTGTTTGAGCCCAGCCAACATATACATTGGATGTGTACATTTTGTGCATGGATGTGTGCATTTTGATAAATACACAAAAACAGGCAGAAGTGCTTGTGAAAAAACAGAAGAAGAAGAAGAAAACAGCACTCATCATCCAACATCAGTTGGAAAGAGCTTCCAGAGGGAATTCAAAGAACCTGGACTCACGTTTTGCTGGTGTACACATAAAACTCCTAATTTTGTAATTTCTTTCCCATTTCCGTGTAGGAAACCTTTGCCATTTTCATCTTTGGAGCAGAGTTTGCCTTAAGGATCTGGGCTGCAGGCTGCTGCTGTCGATACAAAGGATGGCGAGGGAGGCTGAAGTTTGCCAGGAAACCATTGTGTATGTTGGGTAAGGACAACTTTTTGTGTGGCTGCTTCTCCTCAAAAAGAGCTGCAGAACCAGGAACCCAGAAGTCAGATCTAACTGGCATTGGTTCCACTCTGACCTGCTGGGGTTCCCAGATGGCCACGCCCATTCCCTAGCCACACCCCCTTTTGTCAACCTCACCCCTTCCTGCTGACCCTCCTTCCTGATCCCCAACCACACACTGTTGGTAATTCCCTGGCTTTTCTGCACCATTTTTCCTTCTAAAAGGTTGATATGAAAGACTTAGTTACTAGTAATAAAGATTTAATTAAGATATTATGGTATGGTTGGTATTTTTTTCCTTTTTTTCCTTTGTGCCAATCCATGGTGCCTCACTTAGTTGTAATGCAGCCCCAGAGGGCTTCTCCAAAACTGATTTTGGTCCTCAAGACGAAGGAGGTTCAACTCATCTGATTTAATGGAGATCCCCTGTTACATCCTAAAAATAACCCCCATTTTAGTGAATTTCTTGAGCCTCGGTTGAAGTGCCTATGACCTGGGGAGCTTCTCATGATATAAATAGAGGCACATCAGAACTTAAACATCTCCCTTCAGTCTAAAGCCATTCAGACCTCAGTGGATATCTTAGCAGTGGAGACGCAAGACGGACACAGGCAAGGCTGGCGGATGGGCAGGCTGTAGGAATGCAGCTGCTGTTCAGCAGCTCCTGGAAACACGCAGCAAAACAAACCAACAGATCAAACCATCCATAAACAATTAATAGTATCTGCCGGAATGTTAAAAGAAGCCTGCGAAGACGGTCAGAAAGCAGAAAGCCATTTTCCTTTCCGATCCGGCACCAATAGGACCTTCAGAGAAGACATATGCCAGCCCCGGTTGTCCACCTTTCTTGTCAGGATTTGTTCTTTGGTTGCATTGTTTTGCTCCGCAGATATCTTCGTACTGATCGCCTCTGTGCCAGTGGTGGCTGTTGGCAACCAAGGCAATGTTCTGGCGACATCCCTGAGAAGTCTCCGTTTCCTTCAGATCCTGCGGATGCTGCGGATGGACAGGAGAGGGGGCACCTGGAAACTTCTGGGATCGGCCATTTGTGCACACAGCAAAGTAAGTAACGGAGGGGGCTAAAGGGGCACAGCACCCACTTTTTTTGTTAAATCAGGGGTGCTGACATCCACAAACTTCCTGTTTCCCCTGAGCTTAACTCACAATAGCTTGTGGGGTGGCAGGATGAATTTCCCCAGAAGCCAAACAAAGTTATTTGTTGGAAGGAAAGGACTTTGGTGTGTCCTGGCCTAGAATGGGCAATTAATTGGCTGAGTCCAGAGTGCTTCGTAAACTACACTCAAGGGTAGAGTGTCCTTGGACCATGAGTTGCTGTTGAAACTTGAGTCATCGCGTAGTTTGAAGTCAGCTGCATGAACAACCTAGGTAGGACCTCACGGTTTGTTTTGGGCTTCTGAAGTGGGTTGTGAACTGTGGGTTGTGTGTGATGAGCAAACCATGGTTTGTTTGTCCAGCTGAGTTGAGACAAGATATAGGCCACATTCCAACAATTATCCAAAGCTGTTGGATATACAAAAGACCTGCTTCCGAGGAGGTGAAAATTCCTAGCCCTGGTCCATTGCTATGGGCTGCCCGCATTTTTGGGCTCTTCCTGGGAGTGTGGCCCTCCCAGTGGACTGCCACCACCCTGGAGGGAACCAAGGGCTTGGGAAGGAGAACGGGATGCATAGCAATGCAGTTCTAGAGGGAATCCCAGAAGTAGCAATTCTGGCCCAGATCCTGACACAAGTGAGTGATACCAGACTGAAACTAGGAAAACTTCAGAAAAATAGGAAGTTGCCTTCCACAGAGTTGGACATCCATCCACTTTCAGCACTGACTGATAACTCTTCTCCAGGGCTTCAGGCAAGGTTCTTTCCTAGCCCTATCTGGAGATGCTTGGGATTGAACCCGGATCCTTTTGCATGCAAGGCATTTGCTCAGTCACTGAGCTATTGTCCCTCCTTCCAGTGATCAGGGACTCTGAAGCCTGATCTGAACTAGGAGTTTCATGGTCAAAGGCCAGGAGTCAAATATTTCACTTCTGTTTATAGCAGTTACCCTGTTTCCCTGCTAGGAACTCATCACTGCCTGGTACATTGGGTTCCTGACACTGATCCTCTCCTCCTTCTTGGTTTACCTGGTGGAGAAGGACGTGCCTGAAAAGAATGAAGAAGGGAAGGAGACAAAAGAATTTGAGACCTATGCTGATGCCCTTTGGTGGGGACTGGTAAGTGTCTACAGTGACCACATTGGATGAGATTGGTTTTAGATCATTCATCTGAGCATTCTGGAACCTTTCTAGATTTTAGAATGGTTGTTTTATCATTTTGATGTTACCTGTATTACCTTGGGTTACACTGTGGAATAAGAAAGGAGGAAATTTCAATCTCTTAAAAAAGAGTACAAATTTGCAAAATATGTCTCCTGCAACATCTTCTAAACAAATTGAAAACCTTACAAAAGCATGACCGTTACATCGCTGGGGTTCATGTGGGAAATATTTCTGCAGGCTCTCAGAGAAGATGAGGTCCAAAGTTCAGAGATGGAGCAACTGGAATTGGAATCGTGGAAATGAAATGTACAAGAAATATTTTGCTTTGATAATGTGCTTTGTCTTTCTAACAGACTGTCCCAAACTTTCTCCCCACAGATTACACTAGCAACTATTGGCTATGGTGACAAAACCCCCAAAACATGGGAGGGACGCCTCATAGCAGCGACGTTCTCTCTCATTGGAGTGTCATTTTTTGCCCTCCCAGCAGTAAGTTCTGTTGATGACCTCAAGATATATGATATATGAGAGTGGCTGGAATTAGGGAAGGGCAATTACCCTGAAAGGCACTAGGTTTTTTGAGTGTCTCATTCAAATATCGCCAAATGCCCACAGAGCACCTGCCTGGAAAACTAAAATGCATATCTGGAGAGAGAGTAGAAGAGAAGTCTGGATTGAGCATCCTTTGAAACTGTGCTTTGTGTAGTCATGGACAGACCTTGCAAGTTCATTTCAACCAATTCCTTCTTTTTCCCATCTCCAAGTCTGTTTGGAGCTGATGTAGGCTTTGTTTTGTTTTGTTTTGTTTTTTGGAGTTCATTTCATACAGATTTTATGTTCATATTAAGAAAAAGATTTGCATGTTTGCCTGCAGTTTGCAACTGGCATGCATTTTATGGATGGAATCCCCCACTGACAAAACAGCATTTTAAACACATTTTTGGAATGTGTGCCTTGTTTGCACACTTCATAAATCTGCAAAATTTTGATGTAGTTTTTTCAATTGCACAGAATGCATTGCAAGTTCAGAACTGAACAGAGTTCCAAATGCAAAATGTTTCTCATCTGCATCTGTTTCTGGGTGGTATGGTTTGGAGAAATCCATCACAAAAGTCAAGGAGCAGATTGCTTGTGCACCACAGATGAGATGAAGTCTAAGTGAATGCAGCTGGAGCACTTCCCACCTTGGATAGGCAGCATCATGACCAATCCAAACTTCCAATCACACACCACCCTTGATTCTTGCTCCCCTCCCTAGCTAGAACAAACCAAGCCCCTTCTTTTCCACATTCAGGGCAAAGAACCATGGAGAAACCTTCTCCCATTTGCTTTCACTCTGAAAGTTTCAGCAGTGACCCACATATTTCTGCCCAACTGCTCAGGTAAACATTGGAGGCTCTGTTGTGGGTGCTGCTACTCACAATGATGCTCTGGGTATCTACCAAGGAAAGAACCTTCTTTATCTTGTCCTCCACCAGCTTTAGCATAGTCCTTCCATGGTGCTCTGCCTTATGGTTTGTGGAACATACCAGGCATTGTATTTTGGCTAAACATGCATAGGATTGCCCCTGAAATGTCTTTAATGCTTTCATGTTTCCTTCTGTTGGTCTTTTCAGTGTTGTTTCCCTTGTTCCTGTATTGCTTTTGTTTTTGCATGATTGTAATTTTCCTGGCATATACATTTGATTTTGATAAATACAGGCAGGCAGATATAAAATATATGCTGTTTGAAGCATTTTTCCTCAACTTTGCTTTCAGGGTATTTTGGGATCAGGACTGGCTCTGAAAGTACAGGAGCAACATCGCCAAAAGCACTTTGAGAAAAGAAGAAAGCCTGCAGCCGAACTCATACAGGTCGGTCTGCTCATCACACACAGTTTGAAGTACACACAGTTCTTAGGCCCTTTGAAAGCCACAGGGGTTGCCTGCTCTCAGATCTTTTGGCAGAGGAAATGCGGAGGAGCTGTTTACATTTCACACATCTTTTCATGACATACAGGAACAGACTAGAAGCCTTTCCATTTTTTCCCCCCAGAAAAACTTGCAAAAGTAGGGCTGGACCAAAGGTCTCCACTGATAACTTAACAGGTTTTCCATGCAGTTCTAAGTTTTCTGGGAAATGAAAAAAGCTTTCTCTGCAAAAGTTTTCCACTTGGAGCATTTTAGCAAATCTGGGAAAAGATGTCTGGTGATGGAGGATGGGGAGACACTGCCCTCCTCCTCTTGAGGGAGTGGGTGCATTTTGGGGCAGAAACAACATTCACCGATTCTCCTCCTTGCTCTGGATAGATGCCATGCTTTGCTTCTCCAGCACACTAGAGGATGGTACTGTTCATGATGCCGCATCTTTCCAAAGAGCATTCGAGGAAGATCCAACTCTGTGCTACTGCATCACTTCCAGCCACATGAGCAGAGTTTGTGCTTCAATAGCCAAGTCAGCATCTTGTGCCTCAAAGATAGCTACGTATCTCTCCCACCAGACACCAGAGAGCCCTAAAATCTCACACTGCTATTCTGGGTGGAAGACAGGGCCTTTCTGTCTAGGAGGTAGAAGGCAGCACCAGAAAAGGGCTCTTGCATCTCGTCCTGTTATTTTGATTTTAGACAGAAATTTAGAAACATATTAACCTACAGCATTTGCCTCGAAGCAAATGGGTGGGGGGGAGCCTCAAGTCCCAGGGCCACAGGTCTTAGTCCAGCCATCCCTGGGTCCTGAAGCAGCCACAGCCCCCTCCTCTGGCTGCCCTCCTTTTCCCAGCCACCGTTCATTTGGTGGTTTCCTGTAGGGTTGGATGCAGCCCCCAGCATTCAAGGGCATCCTCTTGTGCTTGGCCATCTTGCACATGCAGCTGAGCCAAGAGGAAGTCTGTGAATGCTCACAGAATGAAGGCTGTACAACAGGCACCCTTCCTCCATGGCAGGTGCAGCTGCACAAATGGTGCTTGCACCTGATGTGGGAGAAGGATGGCGCTTGAAAAGCGCATGGGGCCAATGCTGACGAGCACCCCATGAACATCAAGCACACTCACCAGAAACTCAGGCTCAGGGCTGCTGCGAGTGGACCTGAGTCCAGGGAGCTGAGCTCAAGGGATCCGACAGATTCCCACCTCCGTGCAGATTCTTCATGGACGCCTAGTTCCCTGTGCATTTTTCCACCTTGTGAATGGTCAAAAAGCCTCTTTTACACACGATTCATTGGCATGAGGAGCTGTAAGCTATAATTTTGGTAACGCTGGTCTCATTGCTTTTGCCTTTGGTTCTTCCGCTTGCCTTCAGCCCTGCCTACCAAGAGCTTCAGCCCTCACACTCAAAGCAGTTCTGCACCACTGATGCATGTATTTTCTGTCCACTAATGTGGTCCCTGCTTTTGTGTTCTTCAGGCTGCCTGGAGGTACTATGCTACCAATCCCAATAGGATGGACCTTGTTGCCACTTGGAGATTTTATGAATCAGTTGTATCTTTCCCATACTTCAGGCAAGTCTGTTGCTTTGAGCAGTTCTCAGTATAACACACAGTCCATTTTTCGGGTTCCATATGATCATTTATCCAGGTAGAACATGAGAAGAAAGCAATGGGGAAGGGTCAGCTGGGTAGCAGGTGGGCAGAGAGACTACTGTGTACTTGTAATGATGGCAGTTCTCCGAGTGAAGATCTTTATGTGGACAAAATGGCACCACAGGAAATGTTAGCAGGTTGGAAGGTTGGAAGTCCTACCAAAACTTTAGGGGGGAAATCATGATTGGGTGGGGAGGAAGCCCACTGAGGAGTAAAACCATGTCTCATGTGCATGGAACACAGTAAATGCTGAGAAATTAAAAACAGGAGATCAGGAGCAGGACTGGAATGGAGTATTGTCAAAAAGGGCATGGCTGGCTGGTTAGGACTTTGAACAGGAGCCCCCCATACAGGAACCATTTGTGCCAGTTCCCATTGGCAGAGTGCATAGGGTACAATTCTCTGAATTCCTGGGGTAGATGGGAGTTGAATGCCTGTGCAGAACCAGATTAGGTGCTCTTGGAGCCAGGGCTGGGGCTGTGTCTTGTAGCCACGCACTCTGAGGATTATTCTGCCATTGCCCTCCTTTGGCAGCCTTGTGCTCAGTGTGTGTGTGGAAGGCGTCCGTCTGCCATGTATCGAAGTGAGTTGACTGCCTCAGGCTGCAAATGCCAGGAGGGTGGCAATGGCAACCCACTGGCCATCCCTACATGTTGGACAGCACAACTGCATGTGAGGATGCTGGCACTTCTCCGGTACCGAGTCAAGATACCACTGGCAGTCTTCGCAAGGCTTCTGATGGGAAAGATAGATAGTGCCGTCTTGTCCTTCCACTCAGGCAGAAGCAGGGCTTTGGCCAGGCCTGGGAGAAGCCAATGTAGGAACAAAAGTGGAAAGACCTGCTAGGGGTGCGCTTGTTTAAGACAAATGATCAGAGATATCTGCTGAATTTAACACATGCTTTCTTTCTCCTTGCTTTCCTCCTGTTGCTTTCTACTTTCAATTCTCCTAAAGGAAAGAGCAGGTTGATGGCACCAGGTACGTAATGAAAGTCCACAGCTTCTTAATGCCATTCATTCACTTATTCATTCATTCATCCGTTGTATTTTCAGATCAAGGTATACAAATCCAGTCTGCAAATTCTGACTTTTCCCGCACTGCTTTTCATGGGGCCTCTTATTTTCAGTAGTCTTAGTGTATACATTGTGCTGTTGTTAACTGTTCTGTTTGATCTGTAACAATGAGAGCAAATTGACTTTCTGGATAGGGTAATCATAGATTAGCATTTGACTTCTTGCTGAAATGACTATTTCATTAAGATTATTTTATGTGAAATATGCAGCACTGCCTTTGATGGCTGGTATCAGAGTGGACTTAATTGGATTTAATGATACTAATAACACTGAAAATGAGGGCCATTGAATGAAGTCTAACTGATTAGGCATTGTTTGCAGTAATTGTAGTGAGAAATGTAGTAAAGTGAATAGCCTAGTATAAGTTAAATGTTCTTTAATTTGTATCAGACTCTTCCAAAGGCAAGCGAATCTACACAAAGTCTAGACTTGACTCCAGCGGAGGCTGGTAGCTTCTTCAGTCAGGAAGTTGGTGTATCCACTCTGGGTTCTAGTCTGAACCTAAAAGGAGCTGTCCATAGTCCTTAACCATGCCCCCCCTGGAAATAGGTTCAGCACCATGGATGTCTCTTTCAAAGTTTAGACCAGGATCTGGAGTGGGTATATCACGCCAATGACTTTGGAGTCACCCACCTCCACCGTAAGCTACTCATCGTATTGTAAAGCAGTTCCTAGAGAGTTCCCTTTCAGATTCCAGCTGAGGTCCCATATTCAGATGCTTCCTCTGCTAAATACTCCGAATACATAGCCAACTAGCCTCTTGCTGGAAAGGTTAGACTGCAACCATTATGTCTGCCTTCCTGATTTCTACAAGAAAGGAATGTGATCAGACGTTCCATCATGCCTAGTCTGAAGTAAGAACAGCCAAGAATATGTTTTTCATGCCATGAGGGTTTTTTAGATCAGGCACTGTCGGTATTTAAGTATGGCTGGGCTTAGAGCTGGCTCTTCTATATTTTAAATTTTGATCTAAATTTATTTAGATTTGAATATAAATTATTTAAATTTATTTATTGGTCACCATCCTAGAACTGGAAGTTATCTGGGCAGCTCCCAGAATAAAAAGAACAAAATAAAACTATATTAAGAAATACAGCAACAGTAACATCGAATGTAGCATTACCAACAGTGAATCAGGTTAGAGCTTGCCTTAAAAAAACAGAACATTGAAGTAGGCATTCGGCAGACCTCCCTGGGCGAAGGTATTTCACATCCGGGGAGCCATCACCGAGAAGGCCCTTTTTCTCCTAGCTTCATGACTAATCTCATATTATTATTATTATTATTATTATTATTATTATTATTATTATTATTATAACATTTCTATGCCGCCCCTTGCCGAAACCTCGGGGCGGCTTACAACATGATAAAATACATTGAAATACAATAGTACATAATAAATTACCATTAAATACAAAAATACAAAAAATACATTGATTTACAAATATAAAATTAAAATTATCAGTATAAAATAAAAATATAGGAGGAGAAAGAGAAGGAAGAAGAAGTTGCCCTGGCCAGATCATATGTTTTAACAATTGAAATGATGTTTAAATAGGCATTCTGAAAAGGACCTCAGCTTAAAAGCCCCGCCTGCGTGGAGAGCTCTTGCAGGAAGGGCCCCTCAGAACCGTGTCAGCTGTCATCCTGGGTCAGCAATCGCCTGCCTTGATTTCTCAAGGTCACTTGTGGCTCTACAGCAGCTCCTCTGCTCCTGCACAGTTCAAGTGCAATGGGCTTCAGCTGCATAACCCATAGTTAGAGGTCTCCTCTGTCTCTACACCCCCTGCCTATTCAAGTTCAGTTATTATAAACCACAACTTATTCACAGACCACAACTTTGAACTAACTGTCAAAGTCAATGGAGTCTGATGATTTTTAATTTATTTCATTTTTATACTGCCCAATAGCCAAAGGCTAAACCATAAAATCATCCATTAAGAACAGGTGAGGAGGTTGCCAAATGGCATGACATGCTGCCCGCATAGCTATACATTCAAGTCACCTTTGCTAAGCTGAAGAGGTGGAGGCCTGCAGCCAGACGGGTCTCCGCAGAGTATGGGGGTTGGACTCAATGGCCTTATTGGCCCCCTCAACTGTTCTTCTCTTCTCTTCTCCTCTCCTCTCCTCTCCTCTCCTCTCCTCTCCTCTCTTCTCTTCTCTTCTCTTCTCTTCTCTTCTCTTCTCAGCATGCCGCAAAATGTAGTCCACTTCAATTTGTTGATTAGCTTTTAGCGTAGTTTTTTCCTCCCTATTTCTGTCTAGATGATAGAAAGCTAAGAAGTATTTTTTCAGATTTGATGATCAAATGGCTCTTCTTAGTCATGAGGATATTCCAAAAAATGCTGCTGTCCTCGCGTGCTTTTTAACTGTACCTTTGAAAAGCACTAATATTGTACAATTGTGGAGCTAGTGCAAATAATGAACTATTCTTTTTTCCTGTAATAGCAGGAAGTATATTTTGCTGCTAACAGGATAGCTTTGTTGTAGATGTACTTGTGTTCTTCACATTAACCCTCCATGGGGCAGGCTAGAAATCTACCTACCTACCTACCTACCTACCTACCTACCTATCGCAGGGGCTGTGCACTCCAACACATGGGGAAAGGGTCCACTGGCATTTCCTGCTGGTCTGTGAAAGAGCCACTGTCATGTGCACGCACAACAGGGCATCTTGCTCGCCATGGACCAGTGTGGGGCTTGCTGTGCTCTCGCTGCAGATTTCTCCCCGGGGATGGGAGAGGCAGCTCAATGGGAGCCAGCCGGGAGCCCTGCCATGCAGGGTCTACCCTCTGGGCACGGACTGAGGCTGGGCCTTTTCCTTTCTCTGCTGTGTTTTCTGCTGGGAAGGGAAATGCTGAGGCAGGCTTGTGCTAAGAATGTTTTCTCAGCCAGTCTATGCTGGTGTGTTTGGTGGCTCGAATGAGTGGGGTTCATTGTATTTCAGTATTTAACACTATGAATATTATTGTACGTTTGATTGATTTTGTATTGCTCTGCTGCTAATATGGTATTTGAATTCATATTTGCTGTAAATATAGTATAGCATTTATATTGATTTTGTATTTTGCTATTGTAAAATTTGATCAAAAGAAGTGACAGCAGATTTCGCAGTAGCCTTATTTGAATTACATATTGCTCTCTAAAAATTTCAGTTGTATTCAATTGCATTTAATTTCAATATTTTATTCTTTTGTTAGCTTTTTACTGCTCAGTTTCTGGTTATTTTAGATAATTTTCATTTTTTGGTACTATATTTAAAAATGAATACACAAAATACTATATTATGTATATAATGCTTTTTATTTCTGCCTCAGCAGTCCCTGAAATAATTTTCCTATTTCTTCCAGTCCCCAACTGTAAAAAAGTTGAAAACCACTGGTCTATAGCAATGTATAAGCCATCCCTCTCCAACTGGGTGCTCTTCAGTTCTTATCCTCCCAGGGAAATTGGGAGTTGAAATCCAACACACATGGGGGGTACCAGAGTGGGGGGCAGGTAATGCAGGCAAATAAGCCAGCTGTCCTGTTGTTTTAACCCCAGGGTTCTGGTCCATCCAAAAGGCACCCAGCTTGAGATTCAAGAATACTTAGGAAAAAAGGAACTCATCGGTATCAAACATGATCTGTGCTTTATTGAACCCAGTGATGCATGCAGAATATAAACAAGCGAAAGCAAGTTTACACTCCCCTTCTCTGTGGCCATACTGGTTCCGTGAATAGGCCAGGGAACACTCAATGGGACTCCAGTGTTGCCTGGACAAATGACTGATCAATTTTTCTCCTCAAGACAAAAACAAAAGAAAATGCTTCGCACCAGTAATTTGTTTAAGGCTCCTCTTCTCCTGCAATGGCAGTCTGTCAGTATGCACACAGGGTCTAACCACAAAGAGTTTTGTTCTCACAGCAAAGACAGCTCTTGTCTACCGAATGGATGGGGAAGGCAGATCCAAGGGAATCACCTCTGGCATGCCTTCTAACAACCCAAAGGCCATGAAGCCTTGCCATGCCTTCAGAAGACTATGCTGGCTTTTGGGAAGTGAATTGCCCTGGGGAAATTATCTATACCACTTGCTGGAATTTAATAACCTCTATGCCATTCTCCCACTGGAGCCCGTACAGTGCACTTGTTCGGAAGTTTTCCATAGTCACCAGGTTGGCCACTATAGGAAACAGGGTAGTGTCCAGCATTAGCCCTCCGTAACGCAGACCTATTGAAATGAATGAGACTTAATGAGACCCATAGTTGGACATTAAGCACTCATGTTGACATCACTGACTAAAGTGCTATTCATTTCAATGGATCTTCACCACTTAGGGCTAACATGGGTTACTAACCAGGATCCTGGGTAGTTTTAGTTCATTTTGGCTGTGTTGGCAGTATGACGTAGAGGCCATTCATGTGGCTTCACATGCCTACACATCAGTTGAAGAAACCACATGTCCACTTAGAAGGAAGTCCCATTAGGTTCAATGGCATGTACACCCAAATAAACAGATATATGACAGCAGACGTATGGGATCAATCACACGGAGTTGGCACCAACAGCTTCCTTCCTTCAGTCAAGGGACTCCTTTCATTGAGCCCTGTCAGGAAAGGCCCCTTTCTGGCCGGAGGAGGTACCTTCCCTTTGAGTGGGTGTGGTGATGAGGGGATATGTGTCCAATCAGATGTGGACTGCAACACCTATCAGTGCTAGTCTGGAGGTCCCATGGGAACAGATTATAGGAGTTCCAGTCTAGCAGTATCCAGATGCTTCTCCTTCCTGCGTTAGAGGAACAGAAGCTTTGTATCCAACCCAAATTTACACAACAGGGCTCACAACTGCAACTCAACCAATCATGAGAAGGGCTTTAAAAGAAATAGAAATGTGCTGCATGAGCTGGGATGGAGAGACCAGTGACC